CTAGAGTCTATACAAAAATGAAACAAAATTTGATGCTTAGAATATCAACAATGTAAAAGTTAAAATATTGTATGATATGATTTAAATAGCAAACTACAAACATTGTATCTCTTAGAATCCATCATCCAAAGTGGTGATGGTCTTTAAAACCAGCCATTTGAATTTTATTACTTCAAATAAGACTTAGAAGTGTAACCCTTACATCTTTATATGGCTAAATTTTTTATTAATATAGCATATGAACAAGAGAAAAGCTCTCTTGTTTATAAATATATTGTAATTTGCATAGATGCTATACACATAGTAGGCTCTCTATAAATAGCGAATGAATTATGGTATCTAGGAGATGGATAAAAAGAAGAAATTAAGTTGGCATTAAAATAATGCATGGGAATTAAATGTTATTAGCATACATAAACATCCATATCGAATATTTTTGTTTCAAATTCAAATTTTCAACAGTAAATGAAAATAATGATATAGTTTTTTAAATCTTGAAGAGATGAGATTTTTAAATGTTCTCACTGCACATAAAAAATGTTAAATATGTGAAGCAAGGTGTATGTTATTTAGATCAATATAGCCATTCCGCAATGTATTTAACTATTTCAGATTATCACATACATGATAAAAACAGTTTTGTGTTTATTAACAACAGGAATACTCTCTGAGAAATGCATTGTTACACAATTTAGTCATTGTGCAGTCATCACAGAGTATGCTTGCATAAACCTAAATGGTATAGTCTACTATACACCTAGACTATAGGACACACTCCTGGGCTATGGGGTGTTGCTGCTAGGCTCCAAGCCTGTACAGCATGTTACTGTAAGCAGTTGTAACACACTTGTAGGTATTTACATATGTAAATACATCTAAACATAAAAAAGGTACAGAAAAAATATGATATAAAAGACAGAAAATGATATAATAATACAGGGCACTTTCCCTGAATGGAGCTTGCAGGACTGGAGATTGCCCTGGGTGAGTAAGTGAATGAGTGTGAAGGCCTACTTCATATTGCTATAGGAAATTACTATAACCTACTGTAGACTTTATAAACTGTTTGCTTAGGCTACATTAAATTTATTTAGAATTTTTTCAATAATAAATTAGCCTTAGCTTACTATAGTATTTTTACTTTACAAGCTTTTAAATTGTTTAACTCTTTACTCTTTTGCAATACCACTTAAAACACAAACATATTTCACAGTTGTACAAAGATATTTTTCTATCTATCTTTATTCTATAAACTTATTTGTTTCTAATTTTTTGTTTATACTTTTAAATTATTAATTAATTAATTTTTCGTTAAAAACTCAGACATGAGCAGACACATTGGCCTAGGCCTACGCAGGGTCAGGATCATCAATGTTGTTGTCTTTCACCTTTGTATCCTTGTCTCAGTGGAAGACATGGAGGGGCACTCATCTCCTATAATTACAAAGTAGTCCTCTGAAGTATCTCCTGAAGGACCTACCTGAGGTTATTTTACAGTTAACATTTTGTTTTTAGTAAGTAGAAGGGCTATACTCTAAAATAATAATAAAAATAGCATGATTAATACATAAATCAGTAAGTCATTTATTGTCAAGTATTATGTACTGTACATAATTGTATGTGCTCTATAAAACTGGCAGAACAGTAGGTCTGTTTACACAAACGTCATCACAACCATGCGGGTGATGTGTTGAGCTATGATGTTACAAGGGTTACAGCATCACCGAGTGATTTAAATTTTTTCATTTCATTATAATCTTCTAGGACCACTGTCATATATGTGGTCTACCATTGACTGAAATATTATGTAGGATATACCTGCATATACAATTCTTACTTGTCAATTTAATAATAAACACATAAATTAGGAGATAAAAGAACATCTCTTATAACTGGAAGGGTGTCTTACTGTGTGTGAGTGGGCATGCATAGGACATATATAGGCTTTTAGATGAATTCTTGTGGTTAGAAATAATGTTCACTGGTAATTTGAGGCTTTGCCTAGTATTTTAATTATTTTTTAAAAATTATACTTTAAGTTCTGGCATACATATGGAGAACATGCAGGTTTCTTACATAGGTATACACTTTATACATGTGCCATGGTAATTAGCTGCACCCATCAACCCATCATCTATATTAGATATTTCTCTTAATGCTGTCCCTTCCCAGTCCCCTACTGCCTAACAGGCCCCAGTGTATGATGTTCCCCTCCCTGTGTCCATGTGTTTTCATTGTTCACCTCCCACTTATGAGTGAGAACATGCAGTGTTTGGTTTTCTCTTCCTGTGTGTGTTTGCTGAGAATGATGGTTTCCCGTTCCATTCATGTCCCTGTAAAGACATGAACTCATCCTTTTGTTGTGGCTGCATAGTGTTCCATAGTGTATATGTGCCATATTTTTTTTATGCAGTCTATCATTGATGGGCATATGGGTTGGTTCCAAGTCTTTGCTATTGTGAATAGTACTGCAATAAACATACATGTGCATGTCTTATATTAGAATTTATATTAGATTTTATAATTCTTTGGGTATATACCCAGTAATGGGATTTCTGGGCCAAATGGGATTTCTGGTTCTAGATCCTTGAGGCATCGCCACACTGTCTTCTACAATAATTGAACTAATTTACACTCTCACCAACAGTGTAAAAGTGTTTCTCTTTCTCCACATCCTCTCCAGCATCTGTTGTGTCCTGATTTTTTAATGATTGCTGGTCTAACTGGCATGAGATGGTATCTAATTGTGGTTTTGATTTGCATTTCTCTAATGACCAATGATGATAAGCTATTTTTTTCCATTTTTGTTGGCTACATAAATGTCTTCTTTTGAAAAGTGTCTGTTCATATCCTTTGCCCACTTTTTGATGAGGTTGTTTTTTTTTTCTCGTAAATTTGTTTAAGTTTTTTGTAGATTCTGGATATTAGCCCTTTATCACATGGATAGATTGCAAACATTTTCTCCCACTCTTCAGGTTGCCTGTTCACACTGATGTTAGTTTCTTTTGCTGTTCAGAAGCTCTTTAGTTTAATTAGATCCCATTTGTCAATTTTGGCTTTGGTTGCCATTGCCTTTGGTGTTTTAGTCATGAAGTCTTTGCCCAGGCCTATGTCCTGAATGATATTACCTAGGTTTTCTTCCAGGATTTTTAAGGTTTTAGGTTTTACATTTAAGTCTTTAATCCATCTTGAGTTAATTTTTGTATAGGGGGTAAGGAAGGTGTACAGTTTCAGTTTTCTGCATATGGATAGCCAGTTTTCCCACCGTTTATTAAACAGGGAATCGTTTTCCCATTGCTTTTTTTGATCAGTTTTGTCAAAGATTAGATGGTTGTAGATATATGGTGTTATTTCTAAGTCCTCTCTTCAGTTTAATTGATCTGTATATATGTTTTGTTACAAGTACCACGTTGTTTTGGCTACTGTAGACTTTTATTATAGTTTGAGGTCAGTTAGTGTAAAACCTCCAGCTCTGTTCTTTTTGCTTAGGATTGTCTTGGTTGTACAGGCTTTTTTTGCTTCCATGTATTTTAATTCTTAAATGAGGATAAGAATCTTCTGCTCTCCAATAGCATGTGAAATATTTTTTAAAAATGACAAAGAAATATTGCAGCTTGAAAACTTCTCTGATATGTTATTGTACAGCTCAGTAACAATATACTGGATTGGTAAATGTCAGTTTTAATTTTAACAGACATATGGTAGGAAGTATTATTTTATAATAGTAATTGTAATAATTGTATACCACTTTTTGTAAGGGATATAAAAAGTCATATTATCTGCATTTTGTTTCTGAAAACCAAGATTAAAAATAAAATAAACGGATGAAGATAATAATGAATGTAGAACAACAATACTACCACAGAGACAACTTAAAAAGATGAAACTTTTGCCAAAAAAGGTACTGTCTGGTTAAAGAATTAGAAAGAAGCTAAGACAACGAACATTTAATGGCCACAAAGAGCCAAGAAAAGGGAGAAACAACTTGAGGACATGAGCTGACTGACACTGTGCAGACACTTTCTCTCTCAAGATATCTGTAAATTCTGTCAAAGGGAGAAAGTTTAGGATATGAAAAAGAGCCCAGGCCAAGAGCCTCTACCAAGAGGCAAAAAAATCTATAGAGATATGAGATAAAAAGCTCTGTAACCTTATTCTGAGGAGAAAAAAAAAATAGTTTTTTTAGAATTGTCAGTCAGAGAGAACATACTGGTGATTATCCTATACTTTCAGAATATGTAGAAGGCTGTGCTGTAGGAGGAGAAGCAAATCCAGGGACAGAAGTAGCTTTTTAATTTTCAAATAATGTTGGAGCCATCTCAGTCTACACTTAAAAGGTGACCAGTCTTTCTCTACCTGCTTGATCAGATAAAAGGTTTAATATCTCTGGAGAAAAATATAGTCAGAAAATTCTGTATTTTTTCAGATATAATGATCATTATTTATTATAAAAATATGTTATGGATTGGGGGTGGTGGCTCACTCCTATAATCCCAGCACTTTGGGAGGCTAAGGCGGGTGGATCATGAGGTCAGGAGATAGAGACCATCTGGCTAACATGGTGAAACCCCATCTCTACTAAAAATACAAAAATTAGCTGGGTTTGGTGGTATATGCCTGTAGTCCCAGCTACTCAGGAAGCTGAAGCAGGAGAATTGCTTGAACCCAGGAGGCAGAGGTTGCAGTGAGCCAAGATCGTGCCACTGCACTCCAGCCTGGATGACAGAGCAAGACTCCATCTCAATATTTAATATAATATATATATTAAATACATATATTAATATACTTTATTATGTATATATTAGATATAATATGTTATATATATTACATAGATATAATAGATATAAGTTATGCAAGGAGACCAAAGACTGAAAATAAGAAAAGTCAGATATAAACAGCTTTGCTAATAACCTGACATTGCAGTTATAATTTAAAAATCTGTAAGCTACATATGATATTAATATCTTTGAGGAATAGAAAAGAAATACATAGTCTGAAAATCCCATGTCAACAATTGACTTTAATCAGAAAAGACACAGCAGAAAAAAATAAGAATCAGTATATTGAAAAACATTGAAAGGCAGTTTAATAGAAATTCTTTATATTGAACGATTTAGTAAAACAAGAGTACATATTAGAGAAATGACAGTTACTGATATATAAAACAATATGAAAAGGCCTAACTTATCTTTAATATGAGCCCTATAAGGCAGAAGAGAATGGAACAAAAGCAACATTTGAAACACTATTGACCAAGAGTTTTCCAAAATCAAATACTGATACCCAGCCACTGTTGCAAGAAAATTTTTATACTCAGAGCAGGTTGAATACAAATAAATCTACATTTAGGAACATCATTTTTTAGGAAAAGAAAACCAAAACCAAACAGAAAATTTTAATAGCAGCTACAAAAAATGACACCTGCCCATAGAAGAAGCAGTGGCATCATTGGCAGCTGACTGTTCTCAGAAATCATGGGAAACCAGACAACAATGGAAATCATTATCAAATGTAGAGAAACAAAGTTCTAAGAATTCCATATCCAATAAAAATATTATTCTAATGGAGACCAAATAAAAATTATTTCTGACAAGCAAAAACTGAAAAACACCTGCACTTAAAGAAATATTAAAGTGTGTTGTTCAGGCATAAAAATAATTATTTTAGATAAAAGCACAAGACACAGGAAAAAAAGTATACCTGAAAATAAAAATATACAGATAGATATAATAGATATTGGCTGCAGGAAATAATAATTATAAGGTAAATATTCATTTGTAGAAGATTAAAATGCATAAAAATATAAACAATGGAAAGATTAAAGTTGAGGAATTAGTGAAACAATTTGTTAGACTAAAATATTTCAAGACTCAACTATATTTAATTTTCTTTTGCAATCACTTAGTAAAATAGTATACATAGAATAAACTGATCATATGACAAAAGAAGAATAATTCAGAAGAGACAATAAGTGGAGTAAATGACAGAACAAATAGTAAAATTGTAGACATGTATGATTTTCCTCCACCAAAACTCATGTTGAAATTTGATCCTCAGTGTGGCACTGTTTGATGGTGGGAGCTCGTGGGAGGTGTTTAAGTCACTGGAGCAAATCTCTCATGAACAGCTTGTTGACCTTTTCATTGTAGTGAGAAAGTTGTGGGTCTGGTGACACTGAATCAGTTTCTGTGACAATGGATTAATTTTCATGAGGATGAGTTGATATAAAGCCAGGATATCCTTTGAGTTTTTAATTTTTGCTTGGGTCCACTTCCCCGTTAACCTTCTCTGTCATGTTATGAGGCAGCATAAAATCCCTTGCCAGAATCCAAGCCATACCGTTGAACTTCCCTAACTACAGAACATCTTTTCTTTATACATTTTCTGTCTCAGAGTATTCTCTTACAGCAACGTAAAACAAAGTAAGATATAAATCTATCTATATATAATGTTTATATTGATAATGGTACTAAGTGTAAACCATCTACATACTCAAATGAAAGATTAACATTTTCAGACTAGCCCTTTTGAAAGTAGACATATATATATACGTATATATATACGTATATATATATTTAACCAGAGACATCACTTAAATATATGTAGACCCAGAAAGATAAAATATAGAATTAAAAAGGATTCCATTAAATTACTGACAATGTGTTTTATATTGCATTCCTTCATCACTATTTGAAAAATCAAACTTTAAAGAACTAAGTAATATTGGGGAAAAAATATGACATTTCATAATGAAATTATGTGAAGTATAACCACTTGAAATGTGTTTGCACACTGTATTGGTCAGCTTGGACTGCCATAACAAAATATCATAAACGGTGTGACTTAAATAGAAATTTATTTTTCACAGATTTGGAGGCTAGAAATCCAAGATCAAGGTGCCAAGTGATTGGGTTCTTGGTGAGGGCTCTCTCCTTGGCTTGTAGATGGCCATCTTCTCACTGTGTCCTCAGATGAGCTTTCCCTAGTACATACATATGCAGAAAGAGAAATGTATTTTATTTTTCTTATAAAGTCACCAATCCTATTGGCTTAGAGGCCACCCTTATGAATTTATTTATCCTTAATTAAGTCAAAAAAGCCCTGTCTCACAATAAAGATGCATTGGGGGTTACAGCTTCACCACATAAATTGTGAACACAACACAATTTATTGCATAGCACACACAATAACATGGCATCAGATATATTAAGCAAAACGTGGAACTCCAAAAATAGAAATAGTCAAAACTACATTAGATCCACTTTACATGAGGAAAATTACCATTAACAATAATGTATTATACATTTCAGAATAGCTCGAAGAGAAGCTTTCAATGTTCTTATCACAAAGAAATTATACATATTTAAGGTGAGTAATGTGTTAATTACTCTCATTTGATTAATATACAACGTATACAGGTATCAAATCTCACATTGTACCCCATCAATATGTACATTATGTGTCAATCATAAATTTTAAAATATATCAATAACATAGAGACAGTTCTAAGTTATTGTTAAAACGTGTTATAAATTAAAATGTGTTCTGATCCTCAATAGTAAAAACTGTAAAACATTGAGAGAAAATAAAAACATATAGGATGAAAATAGTCCTTAAATAGTTGTCAGAATTAACCTTTTAAAAATGATAGTTCCCATAAAATGATCATTGAAATAGCCATCAAAGGTTCAAGTGGATTTTCGAGATATTGACAAGCAAATTCTCAAGTTTATATGGAATATAAAGTAAGAATAACCACAATAATTTTGAAAAAGAACAAACTAATGGAAAATTATACTAACGTGTCTCAAAGATTACTATAAATGAAGTAATTATGGTATTTTGGTATTGGGAAAGATATATACATATATACACACACACACACACACACACACACACACACACACCTTCTATCCTTTTATAAAACTCTATTCTGATCTATTGAATATTCAATAGATCAGAATAGAGTTCATAAACAGACCACATATGTACACATTATTTAAGAAAAAGTGACAATGCATTGCAGTGAAAAGAGAATGGAACAAAAGAATCTGAACAGCAGCCCTTGAGTCCCAGACCTTCTCTCTGACATACTGTACCTAAATGAGAATGAACCAGAAAAAAAATTCCGGTAATATGACAAAACAAGTTTCTTTTTCCTGTTGGTTGTGTTTTTGTTTTGTTTTGTATTTTTGAGACTGAGTCTCACTCTGTTGCCCAGGCTGCAGTGCAGTGGTACAATATCTGCTTACTGCAACCTCCTCTGTATGGGTTCAAATGATTCCGCTGCCTCAGCCTCCCAAGTAGCTGGGACTATTGAAAGAGGAAGTCCTACTTAAAGAAATCAAAAACATGATATAGGATATTAAAAAAAATTCTTCAGTGAAATAGCATAAATTAAAAAAACAATCACAACTTCTAGAAATCAAGAACCCAATTACAGAAATGCAAAATGCACTGGAAAGTTTTAGCAATACAATTGAACAAGAAAAAAAAAAACAACTTCAGAGCTTGAAGATAAGGCTTTTAAATCAACGCAATACATCAAAGATGAAGAAAAAATAATTTATAAAAATTAACAAAGCATCCAAGAATTTTGGGACTATGTTAAATATCCAAACCTAAAAGTATTGGTGTTCCCAAGGAAGAAGAGAAATATATAAGTTTGGAAGACATATTTGAGGGAATAATAAAGGAAAACTTCACTAGCCTTGCTAGAGATCTAGCATTCACATACAAGAAGCTCAAAGAATGCCTGGGAAATGCATCATAAAAAGGTGATCACCTAGGCACATAGTCATTAATTTATCTAAAGTTGAGATGAAGGAAAGAATCTTAAGAGCTGTGAGATAAAAGTATCAGGTAACCTATAAAGGAAAACCTATCAGATTAACAGTAGATTTCTCAGCAGAAATCCTACAAGCTAGAAAGGTTTGGGGTACTGTATTTAGCCTCCTTAAACAAAACAATTATAAGCCAAGAATTTTGTATCCAGCAAAATTAAGCTTCGTAAATGAAGGAAAGATATAGTCTTTTCCAGACATACAAATGCTGAGAGAATTTACCACTACAAAGCCAGCACATAAGAACTGCTAAAAAGACCTCTAAATCTTGAAACAAATTCTTGAAATATACCAAATTAGAACCTTCTTAAAGCATAAATCTCACTGGATTTATATAACAATACCACAATGAAAAAAAAAAAAAGGCATTTAGGCAACAAATAGCATGATGAGTAGAATAGTACCTCAAATCTCAATACTAACTCTGAATGTAAATGGCCTAAATGCTCTATTTAAAAGATAAAGAATGGCACAATAGATAAGAATTTACCAACCTAGTTTCTGCTGTCTTCTGGAGACTCATGTAATACATAAGGACTCACATAACCTAAAGGTATAGGGGTGGAAAAGATATTTTGTGCATTTGGACATTAAAAGCAAGCAGGAATAACTATTCTTATATTATACAAAAGAAACTTTAAAGCAACAGCAGTTAAAAAAAGATAAAGAGGGACATTATATAATGATAAAGGGACTAGTCCAACAGGAAAATATCACAATTCTTAATACATATGAACTAACATTAAAGTTCCCAAACTTGATAAGAAATTACTACTAGACATAAGAAATGAGATAGACAGCAACACAATAATAGTGCAGGACCTTAATACTCCATTGACAGAGATAGACAGTTTATAAAGACAGAAAGTCAACAAAGAAGCAATGGACTTAAACTATCCCCTAGTACAAATGGACTTAACATATATTTACAGAATATTCTACCCAACAACTGCAGAATATACATTCTATTCATCAGCACATGGAACATTCTTCAGGATTGACCATGTAGACCACAAAACAAGTCTCAGTAAATTGAAGAAAATTGAAATTATCTCAAGTACTCTCTCAGACTACAGAAGAATAAAATTAGAAATCAACTCCAAGAAGAACCCTCAAAACCATGCAAGTACATGGAAATGAAATAATCTGCCCTTGAATGATGATTGGGTCAAAAAAAATGAATCAAGATGGAAATTTAAAAATTCATTGAATTGAATGATAGCAGTGACACAACCTATCAAAATCTCTGAAATACAGCAAATTAGTTCTAAAAAAAAAGTTCATAGCAATAAGTGGCTATATCAAAAAGTCTGAAAGAGCACAAATAGACAATCTAAGGTCACAACACACACAACTGGAGAAAGAAGAACAATCTAAACTGGAACCCAGAAAAAGAAAAGAAATATCAAAGATCAGAGCAGAACTAAATAAAATTTAAACAAAATATAAAAGATAAATGAAACAAAAAGCTGGTTTTTTGAAAAGATACAGTGGATAGAACGTTGGTAAGATTAACCAAGAATTGAGAAGATTCATAGAAGATCAGTTAGAAACTAAATGGGAGATATTACAACTGACACCACAGAAATATAAGATTATTCAAGGCTACTATGAACATCTTTATGTGCGTAAACTAGAAAACCTAGAGGAGATGGTTAAGTTCCTGGAAATATACAACCCTTTTAGATTAAACCAGGAAGATATAGAATATCTGAAAAGACCAGTAACAAGCAACAAGATTGAAATAATAATTAAAATGTTGCCAACAGAAAAAAAGTCTAGGACCAGATAGATTTACCTGAATTCTAGCAAACATTCAAAGAATAATTAGTACAAATGCTATTGATACCATTCTCAAAGAAAGAGAAAGAAGGAATCCCTTCTAAATTATTCTATAAAGTCAGTATTACCCTAAAACCAAAACCAGGGAAGGACATAAGAAAAAAAGGAAACTACAGACCAGTAGCTCTGATGGACATAGATACAAAATCCTCAACAAAATACTAGCAAACCTAATCTAAAAGCATATCAAATGATAATCCATGATGATCAAGAGGGTTTCTTACCAGGGATTCAGAGATGGTTTTATATAAGTAAATCAAGGAATGTGATACACCACATAAACAGAATTAAAAAGACATCTTATTAGACACAGAAAAAGCATTTCACAAAATCCAGCGATGCTTTATGATTTAAGCCTAGGCAAAATCAGCATAGAAGGGGCATACCTTAAGGTGAGAGAAGCCATCTAGGACAAACCCACAGCCAGCATTATACTCAATGGGGAAAAGTTGACAGCATTCCTCCTGAGAACTGAAACAAGACAAAGATGCCCATTTTCACCACTTCTATTTAACATAGTGCTAGCCAAACCAATCAGAAATGCTAGCCAAACCAATCAGACAAGAGAAAGAAATAAGGGGCACCCAAATTGATAAAGAGGAGGTCAGACTGTTGCTGTTTGCTGACAATGTGATAATATACCTAAACAACCCTAAAGACTCATCCAAAAAGCTTCTAGAACTGGTAAATGAATTCAGCAATGTTTCAGGATACAAAAGTAATGTACACAGATAACTAGCTCTTCTATACACCAACAATGACCAAGCTGACAATCAAATCAAGAATTCAAACTCTTTGTAGTTTTCCTTATGGCGGTCTTCCATGATAGCTGCAAAATAAATAAAATACTCAGGAATATACATATCCAAGTAGGTGAAAGACCTCTATAAATAAAACTACAAAACATTGCTGAAAGAAATCACAGCTGATACAAACAAATAGAAACATAGCCCATGCTTATGGATGGGTAGAAACAATATTGTGAAAATGACTATACTGCCAAAAGCAATCTACAAATTAAATGCCATCCCATCAAAATATCATCATCATCCTTCACCTAACTAGAAAAAAAATCCTGAAATTCCTACAGATCTGTAAAAGAGCCCACAGAGCCACCGCAAAATTATGCAAAAATAACAAATCTGAAGGCATCTTTATCAGTCTTCAAAGTATACTATGAGGCCTCAATCACCAGAGCAGCATGGTATTTGTATAAAAATAGGCACATAGAACAATGAAAGTGAATAAAGAATGCAGAAGTAAAGTTAAATACTTACAGCCAACTGATCTTTGGAAA